TTTTTCATCTCTTTCAATGAATGAAAAGTATTCGATGAGTGTATATAGTTGTGAAAATAGAAATGAACAAGTGGGTGAAAAGCTGTTCCGGGTCGAGGCCGTTGGAATAATAAATCATCCCTCTGGCATCGTCTTCTTCCTTCATCTCTATCATTTTCACATTTTCCCAAGAGAAACGGCGTTTGACTGAGAAGAAAACTCACCCCTTTTATATCTTCTTTACTGTGACAATATAAATATAATTCATTTGAAGTTTTTAATTTTATAAATTTTTATTTATTTCAAAAATCGCAACCTTTATCATACAGTAATGACATGTTTCATATTTTTTGATTTAGTTATTTAAATTTTTACTCATATTAGAAAATTTTCTACTGAGAAATGGAAGAAACAAATTTTTTTAGAATTTTGACATTAATTTTCAGATCTTTAAGTAAAAAATTTTTAGTGTAAGTCTTAATATTAGCACAAAAAAAAAAATTTATAAACACTAGCAACAATGACTATTGTTAAATTGCATTGCACTTTTTTAACTATTGATGTTCTTAAAGACATAAGCTCATCCCAATTTTACACTCATCAAGAGCTTTCATTTGAGTACCCACATGCATTTTCATATATTTTTAATATATACATATATATAAATATATAAAATATATGAAAAATTGATGTGGGTACTCAAATGAAAGGTTTTGATGAGTGTAATGCCGGGGTGAGCTTATATCTTTAAAAATATCAATAGTTCACAAGATATTTGTTAAATTGCTCTGTACATTCTTAACTATTGACGTTTTTAAATATATAAGCTCATCCTGATGTTACACTCATCAAGAGCTTTCATTTGAATACCCACATGCATTTTTGATATATTTTTCATATATACATATTATATTCATATATTCATATATACATATTATATATAAATATATATGAAAAATTGATGTGGGTACTCAAATGAAAGGTCTCGACGAGTGTAACATCGAGATGAGCTTATATCTTTAAAAGTGTCAATAGTTCACAAGATACAAGGTCAATTTTTAATTATGTATCTAGAGATATAGCATTTTCGAATATTTTATCATATAAATACTCTGGCCACTAAATTTTGCTTATTCTCTTAATATTATAGATTAAATTTTAAATAAACTATGTACAATATTTTTTTATAATTTTTTAAAAGAAAAAAATTTTTTTCTTCTCAATATGGCAAAATATCTTAAAAGGGTATTTTCAAAAATTTTAGGAGTTTATAAAATTTTAAAAATTTCGACGTTTTAAATAATAAAAAAAATATAATTTTAAATTTATTTAGATCTTCAATCTATTTGATTAAACAATTCATTATTAGATTACAAGTTAACAAGCCCATTAATCATTAAAAGATCAAAAAATTCAATATTAATCTTGTGGTCTGACTATAAAGTCAACTTTTTACTAGCTTTCATGAAACTATAAATTTGATAGAAGAAAAGTTTAAAAAAAAAAAGTACAGCTGAATGTGACATGTTGATTGAAATGTCAATGACTCATTGAAACAATATATCTTGTAAAAAAAGTATTAAATATTTTTTAATGTTTTCTGTCACTTTGACTCTTACGGAAATGGATTCTTTTTAGTATTCAAAACAATAGGTTTGTCAATTCAAAAGATTGAAGTTATAATAAAATGTAAATAGCAGCAATTGAATTGAAATTCGTCTGTATCACTATGGATATTTCATTTATTTATTCAAAATAACAAAAAATCGTTTAAACTTGAGCGGTAACGGTAAATTTAAATTATTTCCTAGCGAGTGATCTCGGCAAACGAAATTCAGGTTCGCACACTCTACTCGCCGAAGACTTCTCACGATAAATTTAAGTCAATGACTCGCATTAAATTCGACGATTTCGCTCGATTCCAGCTTTCTTTTCCTACCGATTTATCATCAGACCCAGACTATTACCACCGGTATTAAAACTCCTACAATTCTTGTGCAAGTACAAGGCTGAAAATAGTCATTTGTTTTGTTTAGCTTCATATTTCTTCTCTTTACTGCTCTTTTATATGTACTAGGCAATATATTTATATATATATAGAAGAATTAATTTGTTTCGTTCAGTTAAACTTAAAGTCGCTGGTATAAGTGAAGTAGCCTATACCCAACAAGTAAACTTAGAGGTTTCATTAGGGTCCGAGAAATTCCCCAAGAATTTATGGTCAAACCAAACTACCGCTACTAAACTCTCAATTTTCTTATCGGACTTGATATTGAAGCGTAGCAAAAAATCTAAAGAATTGACAGAAAAATAATTGGCACATTATAAATAGTATATTACGACCCAAGGCCAGAAAGTTGGATTTTCTGGCGTATGTGATATGATGGCCGAGGCGTAGCCGAGGCTATCATATCACATACGTCCGGGCATCCAACATTCTGGTCATGGGTTGTATACTATTTTTCTTGCTCTCCAGCCGAAAGTACGCAACCCCGGGGAAGGGGTTTTGCAAAACCGAGGCGAAGCCGAGGTTTTACTGGTCGGGGCGGGCATAATAAAAAAGTAAAAATTAATAAATAAAAACAAAATAAGTTATTTTAAAGTTTACTAACAAACACTCTGATTAGGAGAGATAACATGCACAGAACTTTTCACAAATATTTAAACTCGATTTAATAACAGAATTAATTTTTTTAAGTTGATTAAAAATTAGTTTTTAATTAGACGGCTAAGAAAGATTGAAATTTAATTATTAGAAGCTTGTAGAGTACATGGATTGTTTTATAAACAAGTCGCTTTACTATAGCTGTCAAAATATAAAAGAAAGCAAATAAAATCTACAAAACTTTTATATTTTATTTTCTAAAATTTTTATATAAATTATTTGTGCAGTATTATATTATTAAATAATAGTTCATTAACAATAATCTAGTAAGAAATTATTTTTATTTATTTGACACTTTTTGGTTAGTTTATGTGTTAACATGTTACATACAGACGATGTTGTGACTGTTATATACAGTCGAAACTCGCTGTATAGGCCGGTCGCACCACGAAAGTACGAAAGAAAGCGAGGCTCTGTGCTGCCGGCCAGAAAATATGCGTAGCGCGCATGCGTAGAGAGCCGGCTGAGCCGGCCATAAATGTTGCTCTTCCTGGAGTAAAGTGCGTCCAGGATGAGCGTACTTTCGGCTAGGAGAGCAAGAAAAATTTTTTTTTCGAATTTTTACATGTGGAATAATAAACTTTTGAATTAATATCAGATCACAATCTAATTACTTTAAAAATTACTATAACTTCTGAAATATTCATTTTATCAAAAAAGTATAAGACCAAAATTGTAGCTTACAAAATTTCCTACAAAAAACGTTTGTATCTTATAGAACTGACGTCAATATTTTAGGAGATATAGTTGTTTAATAATGCTCACATAGTTAAAAATCAAAAATCATCATCTAGTCATAAAAATGGTCATAACTTCTAAAATATCGATTTTTTGAAAAAATCACAAGAATTAAAAATTGTAGCTTACATTTTTTTATAAAAAACAGTTCTATACCAGAGGGCTATCTTCAATAATTTAGAATATATAGTAACTTAATTGACTATTAGTCAATTCTCATATTTTTATTGTTAGTTCTCAAATTTGTAATAAACTTTCACGATGTAGCTTTTTTATACTTCAACTTTTATTTTTGGGTGGTACCGTTAATTCATAGACTCTTAAATTAGTTAGTTAATTCTTTATAAATTAAATCTTTATCAATTCACTATTATCTATTTAAAATATTCTTATGTAAAATACTCTAATTGTACGTACTTTAACTGCACAATATAATGTAAAACATTCTTTGTATATTTTCTGTTCGCTATTCGGCATTAGCCGTGGAATAATTATTAATAAACTAAAATTAAACTTAATTAGTGATCAAAAAGTTAAAAATGAAAAATCATTTTATATTTTTATAAAATTCTAAAAAAATTTCTAATGTTTTCCAACTTTAGTGTCATGCAGTGTGGCCAGATCGTGCGATTTTTTTACCCCGACTTTGTACCGCTTTTCAATGTAGTCAGATGAGAGTGGCCTACAAAGTGGGGGTAAGAAAAGAGCACGTTCTGGCCACACTGGTGTCATGTAGATTTTCTTTACCCACTTTTCAAGACTCGTACTAAGATGATTGGCTGTAATTCAGAAATTTAATTTAACAAGTTTCAAGCACGATGGCCCAAGGAAATGAAATTCTCAAATCGCGTCCGGCAGTCGCAAATCACTCTCTTCTATTTCTGTAGAAGGTAAAGATCGGTTCAGAAATGAAATTTGCTTTTTGAGGATATTATTCAAGTCAAAAGAAAATTTTTTTTTAAATTGATGGACTCTTAGAAAATGTACTAAAAAGAAAAAAAAATTATTTGATTAAAGAAAAATATTTTTTTTTTTTGTAATTTCACTTTTTCAAAAAATATTTCATAGTTTTTTAATGAGTTATTTATCTTTCTTGAATTAAAAATGCAATATTTATTGATAAATTTTAAAAATCATTATTAATACTTTATTTAATTTAAAAATTTTCAATAATTTCTAATTAATTATTAATTCAAGAGAAAAATTCTTAATTACAGAATTCATTAAAACAATTTATTTTTAATAAGTTGAATTTTAATTTAATTAAAACAAATCTTACTTGTTAAAGTAATTCTTATTTTTTACAAAAAATTATTTAGAAAAATTTTAAAAGATTAAACTCGTATTTATTTTTAAATTTAAGCTAAAATTAGTCCAACATAATTGAAGAAAAGTTTAGTTAAAAAAAAACATTTTGACAAATCATTCTTAGAAAGAGAAACAGTAAAAATTAAAAAAGTTTATCCATTAAAATTCCAATTGACATTTCCGCATAATTAAATTGAAAAAGTTATGATGATTGAACGGAATTTAATTTAGGAATATTTAATTAAAGTAGAAGTGTATATCTTGAAAAGTTAATTTAAAGAAAAAATAATTAATTTATTATAAAAGTAAAATGTTAATGACAGCTTTTGTAAGTATTTAATTTTGTAATTGAGACGACAAAAAATAAAAAATAAAGTGTAATTTAGTTTTAATCTCTCACAGTAATTTCATTTCTTAGTGAAAATCCTTTTACATTCCTCTCTCATCTCAAGTTCGTGCCTGTCCTATGGATTCTCTCGTCTGAGCGATTAATCGAGCGCGTCACGTAGATGTAAACGCTCCTCGATTTTAACGGCTGCTCGTTCGTTCGACCTCGATTCAACGAGCAAGAAAAATAAAAGCCCAGACATCTTACAATTCTTATATCCTGGTTCTTTAATTCCGGAAATACTTCCCAAGCGTCCTCTTTAATATATACGTAAGCAAATTATTTACCATAAAAAAAAATTTTATAAATTTCTTATCGAAATAATTTCAATATATAAACTTAAATTAATTTAAATCAAGACGAAAAATTCTTGAATCAAGAAAATAATTTTTAAGATTTTCATCTCGAATCAAAAAGTCTTAAATTAAGTAAAATTTATTTTAAACAGCAGTCACTAATGACCTAGTTGTCAAAAAACGACTTAAAATAAAATAAATAAATTATTTTAAACAAAAAAAAATTTCTTAGTTTTAGAATTTTTTTACTCAAATCAAGAAAATCAAGCGTTTCAAAATTATTTATTCAATTCAAATTAATTTTTTTTTGTGTATAGTTGATTTAAATGTTATGTATCGTCTTGGTAATTCTGTTAGTAGCTATTCGAAGAATTTAATATATAAAAGTATAATTGCTCCTTATATTGATTATTGTAGTAGTATTATGATAAATTACTCTGCGAGAGATCTGGACAAGCTTCAAAACATTCAAAATAGAGCTATGAGACTAGTTTTAGGAGTTAGTAAATACACTAGAATAAGTGACATGTTAGAAATATTAGGTTGGATGAGTATAAGGCAAAGATTGCTATTTAATACCTGTATTTTTATACACAAATTGGTTTTAAATGAGGAACCGAAAATAATAATAATAATAGATCTCGCTCAAAAATAGTTATAAAAAACACCAAGACTCACACTGCTGAAAAATGTATTACTTATAAGGAAAAGTACCCATTACTTGAACAATTTTAAAAATGGTCCTAATACTTGAACAGTTTGGAAATTCTTATATTATTAAAAACTTCATATTATTCACCACCACAATAGAAATATGGCGAAATAACCGAAAATATTTGAGCATTTAACAAAAAAACTTAACCAATTAAAAATATAGATCATTTTGCAAAATATTCTGTTGTTAATAAGGTGTTTTAATTATTTTTTTATATTTAATTTAGCTGTTCAAGTATACCTCCCAATTTCAAATGTAGGACCCAAAAGTTGAACAAGATAGCGCCGTGTGTTCAAGTATACCGTCTCTCATTTTTGCGTGACCGTAGTACTTGAACTATCTAACTCTATGTTAAACAAATATTTTAAAATGTTTTAAAAAATATATTAAATTGTATAGTAACAAATTAAGGAAATTAAAAAAAAAACTATAAACAAAATTTATTATTTTAAGGGCGAATATTAGTGTTTGTGAAATAAAAAAAAATTATTAAACGTTCTAACCTCATACTGTAAACAACAGGCAAAAATACATTTGAATGTTTTTTAATGTAAAGGACTTAAATGTATATTTAATCTTAATTTCATAATATAATTCAGCAGATATTTGATAATTTTAAGAATTTTTTTAACAAGTAAATTATGGTAAAAAAAAATTAGAAAAAAAAATTGACATTTAGAAATTTTAAAAAATTAAAAATGCAATTTTTTAAAAATAATTTTTTTGAACAAATTTATTTGTTAAAAAAAATTAAAAAATAGTCAAGTGTCTGCTATCTTTAATATCGTATACAATAAATACTTATTTTTGGGCCTTACTTATTAAAGTGTCTAAAGCCATACTAAATAATTGTTCAAGTTCTGGTACAGAGGTGTTCAAGTACTGCAGCCTGTCTGCCTGTCACAGTTTAATGTTCAACTACTAGGGCTCCTGAAGGATTTTTTTAAATAATCAAAAAAATTAATTTTCTTTATAAAATACCGATTTTTTTTTTTAATATATTAAGAATTGAATATATTTTATTGTCACTTTGATTTAGTCAGTTATGATGAAATTTACGTGCTAAAATCGTGGTCAAATACAATACACTGTCAAATCTGTTCAAGTACTGGGTACTTTACCTTATTGGTTATAATTGGTACAATAACTTGCCAGATTTTATAAGAAACGAAAATAGGATAAAATATTTTAGAATAGCATTGAAAAAATACATGGAAGATAAATTTGACATATAAAATTATAACTAAGAATTGTGAATGTAATTGAATGTGATATAATAAATTATAAAATGTAAATATTGTAAATGTTGTTAAGATAGCCAAGGGCTCAATAAACATTATTATTATTATTATTATTATTATTATTATTATTATTATTAAAATAAAAAAAATTCAATTGAAAATAAATTTTCAACAATTATTAAACAATTTTTTATTTTAAAAATTTTTCTAAAGATGAAATTCAAAATTATTTAGATGATTTAAGTCATTTAAGTTTACTAACTTTGGTATTCTTATTTTAGGAATACTTTTTTTTTAACCACAGGGAAAAGTTTTCCAGGAGGAAAAAAACTTTTTTTTCAGTGTAGATAGAATTTTAATGGAATTAGTGCCCTATTTATGTAAGTCGGTCATCTGTCAACCATTGCCTAGTAACCATCGGCCGATTGCATTACTGGGGAGATCTATGAGCCGCTTATCGAACAGTGATCCAGTATACTGATATTTCGATCATCAGCCAACTATTGTAAGCTAATCATGGGCCAGTTGTATGTCTGATGGTTCCTATCCGGCTTAAATTAAAATTAAGGCTTCATAAAAGCCCTTAAAAAGGACCCAAGATAGGCTTAAGTGCAATTTTTTTTCAGTGTAGATAGAATTTTAATGGAATTAGTGCCCTATTTATGTAAGTCGGTCACCTGTCAACCATTGCCTAGTAACCATCGGCCGATTGCATTACTGGGGAGATCTATGAGCCGCTTATCGAACAGTGATCCAGTATACTGATATTTCGATCATCAGCCAACTATTGTAAGCTAATCATGGGCCAGTTGTATGTCTGATGGTTCCTATCCGGCTTAAATTAAAATTAAGGCTTCATAAAAGCCCTTAAAAAGGACCCAAGATAGGCTTAAGTGCAATTTCTTAATTAAATTTCACCCTTTTGTTTGTTTTAATTATTAATACAGAAAAAAATGACTTAAATCATCTAAATAATTTTGAATTTCATCTTTAGAAAAATTTTTAAAATAAAAAATTGTTTAATAATTGTTGAAAATTTATGGATAGTAATCCATAGGAATAAGTTTACTGGATATAAAAAACTTGGTATTCTCATTATTAAAATACTACAATCAATATGGCCGACTTTACCTCGCTTGGTCGACACGAATCTTTAGGATAGATAATTATGAGAAACTATACTTTTTATAATTCTTCATTTATAAACAATTTATCACACTAAAATTAATAAAAATGGAAAGTAGTATATTAAGCCTTTCTTTTCTTATTTTTAATTCTCATTGTTGTCAAAAAATTGCAATTTCTTGCTAATAGCATTATTTTACTAATTTACTAATAACATTACTAAGGTAAAAGACCTAGTTATTGACACTTGCAATTTTATTTTAATTAAAAAAAATAAATCAACTCTGATAATTTAATAAACATTATATTTGAATTATAAATTTTAAGATAATTGGTTTTTTGAGAACATTTTATTTTTTTAATTAGAATAAAATTGCAAGTGTCAAACAACTAGGCCAGTGAAAATAACTGGGTCTTTTACCTTATTATAAAAATTGATTATAAGGAAAGAATGTATTGCTAAAATGAGTTATAAATTTGTTCTAGATGATAAATTCCACTCTGACAACTTCTTTTGCATCCAAGAATCCATATAAGTAAGGGAGTAAGGGGAAGTAATATTAATGATTAATACTTTTATTTATAATTTATAAATTATTTAATTTACAGAAATAAATATATTTAGGTAACTAGACTCAGGCACGAGGTAAACTAATAACTAAAAAACACGCGTACACTGTAGATTGGAGGGAAATGACAAAATAGTGGCGCCACCGTCACGGTTGCTATGGTAACATAGAATTTAGTTTTAGTCCTGTTAAAAAACTTGGTATTCTCAGATTTAAAATACCAGTTTTCTTAAATCTAAAATATTTAACTTGACTTTTACTTCGTACAAGAAAACTCGACTAAAAAATATTCAGTATTCCGGGTATAAAAAAACTTTTTTTTCAGTGTATTACAATTTATAAACAACAAAATGTTTTTTTTCCCCCAAATGTAAATCTATAATTTTAGAATTTTAATTTGAGCTTTTTTTAATAAAAAAATTGAATTTTTCTGCTTGCAGCTAAGCTAATCTGAAATCAGAAAAAACTAGATTAATAACGTCACAAGATTCCTGATCCCTCAGTAGAGTAACTCAACCCAGAGGACTGTAGGAAAAAAACAGGAAGAGGAATATTGGGTTGTTTGAGGACAACATTTTTAAGAGAAACGAGGTAAATATTTAGCCAGTATAATTCTCATTAAATCGAAAATCCTACTACCGCAAATTTACGTTATTTCTCCTACTATGTTTCCGCTAGTTTTACTCTTCCGCTAAATGTTACTCCATTTTTCACTTGTCAACTAAATCCAAATACCCTGCGAACGTACATTTAATTCTTTCATTAAGCTCTACAAAAAATTTGTTGCTTTGCAACAAAAAAATATATATTTACCCAGCTAAATCATATTTATCATTCTTGATAAATAAATCTTTGAATAAAGGGATCTACTTAAATTTTAGAATTTCTGGATTAAAATTTTCAATTTATGAAAATTGCAATCTACTGAGTATTTCAGTTTAAATTAACGTAAGCTACGTAGAAGCTTAATATTTCTCTAGAAATTGAGACATTTTTAAATCAACATCCATCAAACTCAGTAGAAAACTTTTTAACTTTACATTTTCCTGTCTATATCTATCACGGAAAAAAGTAAACTGTAATATTCACTCGGATTCCGGTTAATTTTTATAGTTTCAAACAGTAAAGCGGACATGAGGGTGACAAAAATGTAAATATTACAGAACTTAATGTAGAAAGTATAAAAGCCACAATTTATAATTTAATATCCAAAATAAGTCGGCTGCCCAATTTTAAAACACAGTAACTGCAAAATTTTTATACCTGGTTTTTTTTAGTATTGCTGCATTTTTTATAACTTTTAGACCTTAATTTCAAGTATTTTTTCTTAAAAATATTTATATTCAAGTATTTTCTATTCATAAATCAAATTTTTCATCAATTTGGCGGGTAAACTTTTTTTTAATAAGAAAAATTGGAAAAAATTTTGAATTGTTTGTTACTGTGTTTTGACATTGGGCAGCCGAAGTGATTAGTAGCTGTCTATTTCAATTATAGTCCATATTATGAGGAGAAGGGGATCTCACTCTGGGAGAATTTAACATTTGAAACAGTAAAAATTATACTTTTAAAATACACATTTTACCAGTCCAAGCAAATCAATACTTACAGTTTGATTTTTAACGTTGCGTTTAAAATTTACCATTTTACTTTGTAAATATTGACGTTGTTTGTATTAGAAATTTACTAACTTTATTTTATACTTTTTACATAGATAAATATCAAAGTTAATTATTATACTTTAACATTAATTATTATACTTTAAAATTTTAGACATTCACATAGCGAATATTACTGTTTGAAATATAGTATTTTCTTCCATGTAAAGAGTATAAATTGTGACTTTTAAATGGTAAATATTATAAAGTGAATATTATTTATTACAGTTTACTTTTATCCGTGCATATTAATATTATTTATTTAAGTAGGGGAGGGGGGGGGAGGCAAAATGGGGTACCCCCAAAATTTCGTAAAAAAATTTTTTTTTCCAAAAAGCTTTTTTAGCTTTCCTAAAATATATTTTAACGTCATTTCCTACAATTTCAGAGGAAAAAAAAATTTTTTAACTACAAAAAATTTCTTTTCTAATTTTTTTTACATGCAGTAAAAAAATTTTCGTCAAATTCAACACAAATATTTGTGTTACTGACTGTTTTTACACAAACTAATGT